GATAATGTTCATTATATAATGACTCCGAGTAAAACATCCAATGAAACAGTTTGTATGTATACTTTTCCACCGAAATGACACCTTTATAGTTATTGTTCTCCTGCAACAGAAGCTGCAAGGTGCATAACTTTAGGTATATATACACAGTTATATACTGGTTGACTACAAAAGTACAATTCCAACACTATTCAGCTAGTTGCAAGTGTGACAGATGACTCTGGTACATATTGGAATGTATGGAATGGATGAACACAAGAAAACTGATCTACATGCACCATATGTGCAAGCAACTTGTGAGCAAAGTGCATGCAAAAGTGACATCAGCACAGTCTCCCCATTCTGTCCACATTAACCTATACACTAGTCTGTCATACAGACCCTGACACAAATGTATCCAATACAGCCCATGGAAGTCTATAACAGTAGGCAAGACTAGATACAGCAGTTTCAGGAAGAGAATCTCTGGACTTCATTTTATTATTTTTATATGTTTTTTTTCTGTAAAATATGTTCATTCCAAAGACAAGAAGTTTGTCTACCTATACACAAATATAAGTGGGTGTAGCACAGGAGTCCAAATGGTATCATGCAATCCGACTGTACAACACAGGAAATAGAGTCTGCTGAGTCAAATAGTCAGGAGAAAACTGCAAATGTCAGAGTTGAAACAAGGTGTCCATAGCCTGTGGCACAGTAAGACACAGCCCATCTGGGTTGGTTGGCTGGGTGATGGTTAAAATGGTACATCACATATATCTTGTTGGCAGAAAGGTCAAATAGGCTGTAGGCTCCCACTGAAACTGTGATCCTATTGATACAACTAATACATGTATAGCATCTTTAACTTAACACATATACAATGACACTATTGGCCTTGACTGTATACAGCTTGATTTCTGGTATATGCCACTACCGGCCTTGACTGTATACAGCTTGATGCTGGTATATGCCACTATTGGCCTTGACTGTATACAGCTTGATGCTGGTATATGACACCACTGGCCTTGACTCTACAGCTTGATGCTGGTATATGACACCACTGGCCTTGACTCTACAGCTTGATGCTGGTATATGCCACTATAGGCCTTGACTGTATACAGCTTGATGCTGGTATATGACACCACTGGCCTTGACTCTACCGCTTGATGCTGGTATATGCCACTACTGGCCTTGACTGTATACAGCTTGATGCCGGTATATGACACCACTTGCCTTGACTGTATACAGCTTGATGCTGGTTTATGCCACTACCGACCTTGACTGTATACAGCTTGATGCTGGTATATGCCACTATAGGCCTTGACTGTATACAGCTTGATGCTGGTATATGACACCACTGGCCTTGACTATACAGCTTGATGCTGGTTTATGACACCACTTGCCTTGACTGTATACAGCTTGATGCTGGTTTATGCCACTACCGGCCTTGACTGTATACAGCTTTGGTATATGCCATTATTGGCCTTGACTGTATACAGCTTGATGCTGGTTTATGCCACTACCGGCCTTGACTGTATACAGCTTGATGCCGGTATATGACACCACTTGCCTTGACTGTATACAGCTTGATGCTGGTTTATGCCACTACCGGCCTTGACTGTATACAGCTTGATGCTGGTATATGGCACTATAGGCCTTGACTGTATACAGCTTGATGCCAGTATATGCCACTACTGGCCTTGACTGTATACAGCTTGATGCTGGTATATGCCAGTACCGGCCTTGACTGTATACAGCTTGATGCTGGTATATGACATCACTGGCCTTGACTGTATACAGCTTGATTTCCGGTATATGCCACTACGGGCCTTGACTGTATACAGCTTGATGCTGGTATATGCCATTATTGGCCTTGACTTATACAGCTTGATGCCGGTATATGCCACTACCGGCCTTGACTGTATACAGCTTGATGCTGGTATATGCCATTATTGGCCTTGACTGTATACAGCTTCATGCCAGTATATGCCACTTCTGGCCTTGACTGTATACAGCTTCATGCCAGTATATGCCACAACTGGCCTTGACTGTATACAGCTTGATGCTGGTATAAGACACCACTGGCCTTGATTGTATACAGCTTGATGCTGGAATATGACACTACCAGTCTTGACTGTATACAGCTTAATGCCGGTATATGACACTACCTGCCTTGACTGTATACACCTTGATGCCGGTATATGCCACTATCGGCCTTAACTGTATACAGCTTGATGCTGGTATATGCCACTATTGGCCTTGACTGTATACAGCTTGATAACGGTAAATGCCACTACCGGCCTTGACTGTATACAGCTTGATGCCGGTATATGCCACTATTGGCCTTTACAGTATACAGCTTGATGCAGGTATATGCCACTACCGGCCTTGACTGTATACAGCTTGATGCTGGTATATGCCACTATTGGCCTTGACTGTATACAGCTCGATGACAGTGTATGCCACTACCGGCCTTGACTGTATACAGCTTGATGCTGGTATATGCCATTATTGGCCTTGACTGTATACAGCTTGATACAGGTATATGCCACTACCGGCCTTGACTGTATACAGCTTGATGCTGGTATATGCCATTATTGGCCTTGACTGTATACAGCTTGATACAGGTATATGCCACTACCGGCCTTGACTGTATACAGCTTGATGCTGGTATATGCCACTATTGGCCTTGACTGAATACCGCTCGATGACGGTATATGCCACTACCAGCCTTGACTGTATACAGCTTGATACAGGTATATGCCACTACCGGCCTTGACTGTATACAGGTTGATGCTGGTATATGCCACTATTGGCCTTGACTGAATACCGCTCGATGACGGTATATGCCACTACCGGCCTTGACTGTATACAGCTTGATGCTGGTATATGCCACTATTGGCTTTGACTGTATACAGCTTGATGCTGGTTTATGCCACTACCGGCCTTGACTGTATACAGCTTGATGCTGGTATAAGACACCACTGGCCTTGACTGTATACAGCTTGATGCCGGTATATGCCACTACCGGCCTTGACTGTATACAGCTTGATGCTGGTATATGCCACTACCGGCCTTGACTGTATACACCTTGATGCCGGTATATGCCACTACCGGCCTTGACTGTATACAGCTTGATGCTGGTATATGCCACTATTGGCTTTGACTGTATACAGCATGATGCCGGTATATGCCACTACCGGCCTTGACTGTATACAGCTTGATGCCGGTATATGCCACTACCGGCCTTGACTGTATACAGCTTGATGCAGATATATGACACCACTGGCCTTGACTGTATACAGCTTGATGCTGGTATATGCCACTATTGGCCTTGATTGTATACAGCTTGATGCTGGTATATGCCACTACCGGCCTTGACTGTATACAGCTTGATGCAGATATATGACACCACTGGCCTTGACTGTATGCAATAGAATTTTACACTGGAATAATATCAGCCTGTGAAATACATTCTGGAATTTGTTTATCTCACACTTGATCAGTGTTGAGTAACTGGAAGTGAAATTCCTGGATTTGTGCTGCGGCCTTGCGCCCCTGTACTTGTTCTCAAATGCATTTATCATCAGGGGAAAATCAGCTTAATCATAACGTGGTTAGTTATTAATTGCAAACAATCCAAGTGTTTATGAAATGCATCATAATTACACAATGAAAACAATCAGTTTGACCCCATTGCCCTTAACATTCCACACATTTTAAAACATGTATTGTTGGTCCTTAAGAAAGTTCAAGATCTCTCTGCCATTCAGCTAGCACATTTGGTCATGCCAACAGCCTCCAGGGTGAGACCAGCTAGTGTAATCTGTCTCCCAGACCAGGGAGTAAATAAAACTTGAATGCAACTTATGTCTAGAGTGATTGCCGCAGCTCTAGGCAGAAATTAAGCATTGTTCTAGGCTCCATTTGATTATATTTTATATTTTATTGATATATATTTTTTAACAAGATAACTATATTTCCTGGCTATTTAATGTTACTCTACTTCTAGCCATCCACAACCAGCAGACATGGTGAGGAGGGACATCAGATTAATCTCTTGACCGTTACCTGTAGTAAATGCTAATAGTTAAATGTGTAGCTCCTATTCACTTGTTTACACATAAATGCAATGTGTGTATACTGGCTGATAGCTTTCTCATTCCATGATGAATACATAACACATGATACAATCAAACTGTAATCACAGCCAACTCAGATCAACTAGCTCTTTTACTTCTAGTCAACAAAAAACATTGAAATCTATTACAAGCTTTATAACCACAAAGGTTGTTTGAGTGAGACATCATTGCATTACACCCCAACAAAAGGGCTGGTGCCTAAGTTATTGAAAGAATGTTCACTCAACTGAACCACGGTTTAACCCTGCTAGATTTCTGTGTTGTAATGCTGCCTGTGCAAGCGTTGAGTGACACACCAGTGGTGTTGGCCAACCAGGTGTGGTTTGAAATCGATGGAGATTCCCTGTATAACAAGAGCTTAATGATGATCACTACCTGCTTCAGGGTCAAAGGAATAACTGTGGTAGGAAAACCATGAGTCATTTACTCAAATACTTTCTTTTTTCACAATGAATCAACACAAACCCCTTGCTGTTCTGGTTTCACCACGGACTTGTTATATAGGTCCGTGGTTTCACCTAGACGTACCACTAACTCACCACACTGAAAGAGTTATCAACATAATAACTCAAAGAACACTAAGTTTGGGAAGTGATTGACACTGATCATAAAGTGAGCTCCTGTATCATCAGCAGGGTGAGACAAGTGGACAGCCTGTGAAACAACAGTGTCGTATGTACAGGCTGGTAGGACTGCACATTGACTACTGCATGTGCTGACAACCACTACATAGCTTCACCTCATCAGTGGTATTGGGGAGCTGTCTCCTTAGTTATGGCAAATCTCTATAGAATACATGTTAGTACATAAATATATTACAATTTCCAAATGCACAAAACATCTTGAATATGAAATAATGATCAAATAAAAAATGCCTACCAAAAAACTCATCCCAGCAAAGAGAGTTTCGATCAGTTGGTTGCAGATGACTTAGCCGCATGAGTAGTTTCTTACGATCCTTTCTTGGACCAGCATCACGAACACCATGATCCTCATCTGAACTGTCGGTGCAGTTCTCCAACTCCAAGTAATCTCCTTGCTTTACTTTCCAAGCCATCATTTTAGAAACTTGTCACCACTTTACCACATTACCACAATGTGTCAAATAGAGAGAGATATCAACTCCATTCCTCTCATCATATGTTGTCAATGTGAGCAAATCAACCAAAACAAGGTAACTCAGATATATCCATTCCGTATTGTAAGTTCCATTTCGTGTATAAGATTCATTCTCCATGAAACAAAATCAGTTTAAGTTTACCATACAAATAGTTTGTATGGAGAGTACCGTTGACTGTGTGATGCCATGTTGAGGCCCTCCAGCTTGTATGACAGAGAAACACATACATATGTTTGATGTGGGACCGTGTGAGACAGTCCTGGTGACCAGTGAGTGGCTACCTGCCCACACCCTCATGGGCCATTGGCGTTCAAACTGACTACTCCACTGAGGTAACAACTTAGGACGACTGTTCAGTAACCATAGAAGATGCAAGTATCCTCGGGCAATATTGCCGCACACGACCAGTACCTTGTTAACAGCATAGCCATAGGGGAGAACACAAACCTGGCTCTAGTCAAGTCGTGTCCTACAATAACTTATACATAGGTTTACCTCTCTCACCCTCAGGGGATCAATGAATGGGGAGCTTTGTCTCACAGAAGATCTCACAGATTTGTGCTAAATAAAATTGGGACAAAATGTCAATGAGATAAGATACCCTGTGTGAGATAGAATGATCCCTGACAAACATGATCCTCCAGGCGGATGGGGATAGCCTTCAGTTGGAACCTATTTACTGACTTGTCTGGCACTGACAGCCAGAAACATGGAGCAAGTCTGCCCTCACCAAAGTTCAATGTGGCAGGTATGACAAGGGATAACACTGAAGTCTGGAAAGTCTGATAACTGATCTCCTTAATTAAGGATCCGCAAATGTTTGGCCTGTGACCTGCTGGTGGGAGGATAGGCGAGGTAGTGTACTTCACCAGTAACAATGGTCATATTGTTCTCCCACAAACTCCATGAAACATAAGAATTGTGAGCTTAGGAAGAAACTGTTGTTTTGGTAATCTTACTTGTGTTAGATCAATGTAGTTTCATGGAATCTCAGGTATCCTGCAAGACCTGAAGCCTGAAGGACACAGATAACACAATCATAGGCTGGGATGGCAAATCCCACGTATGTAGGTATGTCCTAAAATCCACACATATTGCATTCCCTTGGTGATTATTATCTGGAAGCAAAAGACACTTTATACTGAAAACACCACTACTTTGTAGAGGAAGATATTCCACTACGTTCAGTAGCAGAGCAATGATAGATCAGCACACTATGAGTGAAGTTCCTTGGAAGCACAGTGAAACAAACTGTATATCAGTAGCAGGTACTATATCCCAGCAATCCAGAGGGAATGAACATATATCACTCACAAGTTATACATGGTCTTGGAATTTATTGGCTTTGTGTGCTGGTTGTTGGTGAGATCCAGGAAACAGCCTGCATGGCCTGTGATCACTTCATATACAAGCCGATGCTCATTACTGGAGCTTTCCCCATGTCAATGTGGCGGATCCAGGCTTCATGTCAGTATAAGAGAGGGACTGTTGCACATGGCTGGCTCAAACTAAGGTGAGTAGCTCACACCACTGTTAAAATACTACACTGGTCAGAAAGGGCCTAGTCCAACAATTGGCAGTAGTAAAAAACCTTTGATGATCAAGTTGGAATAGAATACTATACTGGTGTGGATTATTAGGACTAGTGCTGATAAAGCATGGCAAAAGAAAACGTATGGTTTTGTCAGCTCTTTACGTGATCCTCAGCATATTCATTATCACTGTTCCTCTACAAAAATCAAGCAGACGTGAAAAAATGGACTGAAACGTATAGCAATAACGTCCATTGCTTGTTTGGAGAGATTTTAAGTGAAATCTGTTTGTGAAACGTTCACCAAGCACGTATCCCAGTCTCTAGCGACGAGCAGACAGCAAATTGGGGAAGTGGACTCGTGGCTTCGTTTGACTTTGTTGGAGAGATTTGGCCAGGGCATCTGCTGTGCATGTGGACAGGGACGGGGCTGGAGGTATTGTTATCCTTTCCCACAGTAGTATTTCCCCATCAGCGGGTCCACATCACAAACACCTCTGCACCCAGGCCCAGTGCTGCTGACTGTCTGAGCCTTTTGCACACTGTGCAGTAAAAACACTATTCGTATGAACTCATACAAAGTTTCAGATAAGTTTGGCCCAATTACTGGCACCTTCTTAATTTAAATATCAGTCAAGCATGTAGAAATAATGTTGGCTACGGATTAAAAGGATATGAAGTTGTCTTACTGAGTCATGTTGAATATATATTTTCCACACTAACGTTTCAACTTTTCCACTGAATTCATATAACAGTCACAATCCCAGACCACTTAAAAATAATCTCAAGATTTGTAGTTGGCTGCTTCCAATATTCCTCTGTCACAAGCAAGTTGCACAAAGTTGATTGTGTGATGAAAAACAGACAAGTATGTTTCCAAACCAAAAACACTTCTACATTCCCTCTTTCCTTCTCCTGGCTACACTGCCGGCTGCCTCTCCATCACCCTCTGATCATGGGCTACAGCCCTATTCCCTGGATGTGTTGATACACTGATTATTCTTATTATCCTGTGTCCTGCCCTCAGCAGACAGTCAGCCAATCACCGAGCTGTGAGCAGAGACAACTTTTTATTCACCCTTGAATCATTTACACTAGAGTTCTTGAGAGGACGAGTGCATATGCATGGGGGCGTAACACAAACTAAGCTTGTCTGGTCATCAGGTATTCACCTATCTCATTACAAAGTAAAATCCACCTCCAAATTAATTAATCTCGTAAGATAAACCACTTGGCCATTTTTTTAAACCAGAGAAGAATTCCATTAACGTGCCTCCTAAATTGTGAGGACGATATTGTGTTGTCTAGCCAGGTGTGATTGAGACAGAGACACTTCATCACCACAGGGCTCTACTGTGTAGCCCTCACCTCAGGGGGAAAGGTGGACTGCTGGGGGGTCAGTCATAGCAGTCATACATGCTACACTGATTGGAGGCAGTGCAACAAAAACTGATAATCTCAAAACAGGACATCAAATACCTGCCAAGGAGGATAAATGTCCATCTTGTTCAATAAGGTATCACATGTGTAAGTGTCAAAGGAGATACATTACACAAGTGGATTAAGATGGATCTGTAGACCCTTAAATTTTGCCCCTCCCCAGGAACTTACACAAATAGTATCTATACAGTGTCACTTTCCACAAATGGCAGGTCCAGTTTATGATCCTCATAAATAAACCCAATAAATTCCCACTCCCTGAGATTCAAGTATGACTGACCATCTCCATGCGTTATGCAACTCTAGCTGTATGTATACAAGCCTTTGGGCAGACAACACAGTGACTTCCTGGCAGGGACAGTAGGTGTCCCCACATCAAGGAGCTGCAATCCTACTGACAATCACCCCAAACCAGTCCTTATTACTAAGCATTAAATCCAATGGCAGACATATCCATTCTCTTCCACTATTATTATTAATTCAATTTCTCCTCAATGGAATATAGAAACATATTCATTTCCATGACAACAGGTTCTCAGACATGGAAAGCAAAGTAGTTGAATAAGTTCCCACCAAAACTTCTTAGAAGCTGAGACTTTAATGTTGACAATCAGGCTCCATTGTAAGGATTCGGGAATGTTTTCCTTCACCTAGTTTAGGTAATCTGATGAAAGAGAACACATCAATTAAATCCCTTTATATGACACAACACAACAGAATGACAGTTGACCTTCCAACTATTAAAGAGAGTCAGTGTAAGTATAACAAATCCTCTTCACTAACTATCCTCAAGACTTACATATACTCTCATATCAGTATCAGCATAACATAGCTCTGTATTTTCACATTCAAGTCAAAATACCTAAACTTCTGTTACCCACTTCCCTACTGCCATGCAACTGACAAACTGTTGACTATAAAAGTGATGCAACATTTTGCAGCATTACACGTCAGTGTTGGAAATGATTAGAAAGTGCTATTAGAGACCTGTAAGCCAACCTGCACATAGGATAGCTGACTGTCCGATGCGTGGACAGTGCTATTAGAGGCCTGTAAGCCAACCTGCACATAGGATAGCTGACTGTCCGATGCGTGGACAGTGCTATTAGAGACCTGTAAGCCAACCTGCACATAGGATAGCTGACTGTCCGATGCGTGGACAGTGCTATTAGAGGCCTGTAAGCCAACCTGCACATAGGATAGCTGACTGTCCGATGCGTGGACAGTACTATTAGAGGCCTGTAAGCCAACCTGCACATAGGATAGCTGACTGTCCGATGCGTGGACAGTGCTATTAGAGGCCTGTAAGCCAACCTGCACATAGGATAGCTGACTGTCCGATGCGTGGACAGTGCTATTAGAGGCCTGTAAGCCAACCTGCACATAGGATAGCTGACTGTCCGATGCGTGGACAGTGCTATTAGAGGCCTGTAAGCCAACCTGTACATAGGATAGCTGACTGTCCGATGCGTGGACAGTGCTATTAGAGGCCTGTAAGCCAACCTGTACATAGGATAGCTGACTGTCCGATGCGTGGACAGTGCTACATCAAACAACAATGCACACCTGACAACGTCACTATTTCTCACAATGGTGACTAAAGAACGCCTTGTTACTCCCTAAATCTGCTTACATTTACCTGTATTCACAGAGGCTACAGCTATCATAAAACATCTGCCACTAAAAATGTACCCTTTGTTATTTTCAAACCATGTATGAATTTCCGAATTGAGAATGAAATGTCATATTCTCCATTCATGCATCAGTATCACCTTTCTCTACTTTGTGTAAGCAGGGTTAGATACTGATCCTACTTACTCAGCATCATGCAACATGGAAAATTGATGTACAAATTATTTGTGAAAAGGAATATTCTAACAAAACATGAAAAAACAAAACATTGTGTAAGTGTTGATAAAAAAATAGAAAAAATCACTTAAGTTACGACATTTTCTACTGAAATGCATAAAGATCTACATATATTTTATGTTATAGATATTTGATGCTGATCCACATATAAAACTGAGAGTAATCAAGAGTAGAATAGAAGGACATTATTTAACCCTATTTTAGGGACTATATGTCAGTCTAAGGGAGACAAATACTGAAACATAACCTTTTCTGATATGCCACAGGGACCTTAATGTTAAAAACTACCTATGGCGTGAGCTTTATGATGATGAGAGGAGCATATGAGGCGTGTGCCTGGGCAGCCCCCATGCACCTCGTCATCGGGGAAGCCGCCCCCTCCCAGGGGAGGAGGTGCCTACTGGAATGGAGATACTGACAGTGAGGATACTTTTAGCAGGGAAACATTTGCCTGGCCCTGGAGAGGAGGGCCCACCAATAAACACATATGGTGCTAATTGTTGTGTCAAAGAGAAGTGCTTGTGCTGTCTCTGTATAAATAGACAAGTGTTATGAAACTGAGTCATTTCTTTAATGAAAGAAGAAAGGCTGGTCTATTGACAGAATTACTGGATATGTGATATCATGAAATACTTTTAGAAGGGTATCACATTCTCGGAAAAGGAGAGCATGCTTCTCTCTGTATTGGAACTTACACTATGAACCGATGCCAGGAAGTTCATATGGCTACAGATAGTTTCCCAATATGTCAAACTAATCATATCTGAAAGTATTTTGTTTGATACTTCTAATGCTGACGTGATATATCTCCTCTGTACAGGACCCAGACATACGGCACTATGGATGTGATCACACATCTCCTCTGTACAGGGCCCAGACATACAGCACTATGGATGTGATCACACATCTCCTCTGTACAGGACCCAGACATACGGCACTATGGGTGTGATCACACATCTCCTCTGTACAGGGCCCAGACATACGGCACTATGGATGTGATCACACATCTCCTCTGTACAGGAACCAGACATACAGCACTATGGATGTGATCAAACATCTCCTCTGTACAGGACACAGACATACGGCACTATGGATGTGATCACACATCTCCTCTGTACAGGACCCAGACATACGGCACTATGGGTGTGATCACATGTCTCCTCTGCCCAGGACAATTTGAATGATACTATGAATCATAAACTTCAGCAAATTTCAGCAAATATGTATCTGAGTGTTAAGTCAGAAAATGATACAAATCACAATACACCAGTCACGATTCACCCAATGCAGATTTAATCAGATGTATTCAGGTTGGTTTTAAGCAATTTTAACCTTTTGTATTGCCAATGAAAACATTTGAATTATTTAACAGTTGAATAACAGAATGCATCCCATCCACAGAATATGTGTGGTGATGTAACACAGTATTGCTGCATAGTTAACATGTTTCGGGCCACCACGGACAAATCCATCCTTGATAATGGGAGGACACATTTGCATGATTTAACAAAATTGTCACCAATAGGCCAGCCTCTCATTTCATGTGTTGATGGATCTAGACCTTCAGGCCAATGAAATAACCAGGAAATTGTTATTATAACCTTCTGATCTGTGATCACACTTGAAGGGCCCTCCCTGCAGGCAAACCTTTGAAAGTCCAGATGCACCCTGTCTTCTGACAACATGTTATTCATACAACAAGGAAGAATATTGTGAAGCAGATGTAAATGACAACAACTGACAACCCTTAGCCTTGCTATGGGGGAATAACATTGTTTTATCAATGCGACCCATCTTATTCAATAGTTATTGTTTGGTGAATAAAATGTGTTTTATGTGGACATGCTGAAGAAACATAGAGGCAGGCATGTGCCCAGCTGAAGGGTACATAGAGGTGGACAGGGGCACAGCTGAAGGGTACATAGAGGTGGACAGGGGCACAGCTGAAGGGTACATAGAGGTGGACAGGGGCACAGCTGAAGGGTACATAGAGGTGGACAGGGGCACAGCTGAAGGGTACATAGAGGTGGACAGGGGCACAGCTGAAGGGTACATAGAGGTGGACAGGGGCATAGCTGAAGGGTACATAGAGGTGGACAGGGGCACAGCTGAAGGGTACATAGAGGTGGACAGGGGCACAGCTGATGGGTACATAGAGGTGGACAGGGGCACAGCTGAAGGGTACATAGAGGTGGACAGGGGCACAGCTGAAGGGTACATAGAGGTGGACAGGGGCACAGCTGAAGGGTACATAGAGGCAGACATGTGCCCAGCTGAAGGGTACATAGAGGTGGACAGGGGCACACCTGAAGGGTACATAGAGATGGA